CCCTAAGCCCCTAAGCCCTAAACCCACCCGAGTCCAGGAGTCAGCGATCAAGTGCTCCAGGCCTTGGGTTCCGAAGCCCCTGGGCCTGAAAGCTTCGGGTTGCAGGGGGACTGCAAGGTACAGGGGGTTTCGGGGTTTAAGGTCAAGGGAAAACCGGCCAAGGGTTTAGGGTTTAGGGTTTAGGGGTCTAGGGGTCTAGGGTGTGTCAGAAGGCTGTTCTTTGCATGCTTCGATTTTTTCCAGGCCCCAAATCTGCATCTCATGCGTTGTTTGGATTTGGGGTTCGCTTCCTCCTCGAAGGCAATCACGAGACTGTCAGAGTCTTTGAGAAAACGTGCGGTTCAAACGTGCTTCCTCCCGGCGGGTCTGTATTGAGCTTCTCGCATCCAAGGCCTTTCGATGAAAACCCACCAGAACTTCCAAAGCACGTACTATGGTGTCAAGCAAGTTCGTTGGCAAGACATCTGAGAGGAGCAGTATTTGAGAGTCAAGGTTCACTATCCCATGAAGATGCTGCTGCCGATTGTGATGATCAACTTCTTCTCCGAGGCGGACTACATTGCTGGACGGGCTCGCCGAAAGTCAAGAAGGTTGAAACTTGAAGGTGTTGCATGTGTTTGCGTGACACTGAGAGTGGTGTCTGTCCGAGTCTGGGCGTGATATCAGTTATATACCATATAGTATATAAATGATAATATACTATAGTATACTTAATATATTATAATATACTATAATAGACATACTATAGATAATAATAAACGATACTGTAATACACTATATATATATATATCACTTCTCCAACCACCGCGGGCCCCTCTCCTTCCTTCAGGGGCAGCAGCAGTTCCATCTTGCCGGGGCTTCTGAACGCGCAGGACGCTTTTATGACGAAGACTCGCTCTACCGCTTGGCCACCATGCTGGGCTGGTCGGGAAGCCTGCTTGTGATCGCAGCCTCCTCGGCTGTTCATGTGAAGCCGCAGAGGCATGTCATTACGGTTGTTATTCATTCCCCAGTGCTGTTCTTCAACAGCAAAATGCATGTTATGCATCTGCACACCTGCACTCAGATCCCGCTGAGCCATCGCTTGTGCTACTGCTTCTGCAAAGAGCACAGCTCTCCTCTGCGTGACCCGGCTTCTGGGGTGGGCGTGTAGAGCAGAGGTTCTCGAAGGCCGCAGGGCATTATAAACTACAGTATTGCTATACTATACGGTAATATACAGTACTATGATATACTATAATATACTATACTGTACTACGGCGACCCGAAAAACACTTCTGCTACCGAACGGTACCACTCACATTCTCGCGACTGGCTAGCGTCGAAGCCATGCTGCCCCGGTTTTTGACTCAAACATGTCGGCCATCCTACCGACAAGGCGAGGCGCTGACCAATATCTCTTTGGGAGCTCTTGCCACTCGACTTTTCGAGTAGGTTCTGTTTAAAGAGTTTCAGTGTTCCGGCTGCTTTGGCTTTGGAGCTTAACGCTGGCGATGTCCGGGCATAGTGGACAGTTTCTTGTGAAGTCCTTGCACTGGACAGCTCGGGCAAACCGAACGCGGAATGCCCTAAACCCTAAACCCTAAACCCCTAAACCCCTAAACCCCTAAACCCCTAAAACCCTAAAACTAAAACCCTAAACGCGGGTCGCTGCAGGAGAATAAAGGCGAGGCAAACCTGCTCATGGCATCCAGAGCTGAGGTCGCTTTGATGTGGGTGGCGGGATTTGTTGCTCCTTGGATCCATCGAGGGGTCATATGGGAGTTTCGGAATATAAGGGGTACCTTATTTTGGGGTCCTTATAATAAGGATCCTACTATTTAGGGTACTATAGTAGGCAGAATCCCGGTGCCTGTAAGTTTTCACGTATGGGTACGGGCCTTTGCTTGCATCTTCATATACGAATGGCGCATCGCTTCAGGTTTTTTGTAGACCTGCTTGGGACTGCAAGCGAGAGTGGTCATAGCAAATGTCTGGATCTTGAGTGGATGGTGTGGTGCGCTGGTGCAAACTCGCTTTGCTCAGGGTCCGTGCTCCTTCAGTTGCAGTCAGACGCCCATGCTTCCCTTGAGGTGAACTTCCGACTGGTGGATTCCCAGGCCTGCGTGCAGGGGATATCTCCCGACATAGCTACAACGCCAAAACCGGAACCCTAAACCCCAAACCCTAAACCCTAGCCCTAACATACTGAATGATCACGGGGCCCACTTTCTCGACGGAGGGTTTGCGCAATCAAGTTCACCTTCAGGTGCTCTCTGGCTGGCTGCTTCCCCTGCCAGTTTTGGAGTGGCTGGCATTCTTCTATCTGCAGCGAGGTTCCTTCAGATGCTGCAAAGGCTAAGGGCAGCGGCGATTGGTTTTTGATTTTTTTTAATTAGTCCTCATGCCGAAGTTGCAACGGGGGACCGATATACTTCGTCCTTTGCATGGTTAAGCTGGTTGCCCGGCTCGTGTCCTGCCACTCTGCAAGCAGTAAGCAGGCCAGCAGGTGCAGCCAAATTCGTGGAGCAACTCGGCTTAGCAGCCGCTCAGTCCGAGACTGTTTGGAGGGCTCCCCAGGGCCTCTGCTCTGTCTGTGTTGCTTCCGTTTAGCTCTTCAAGTTCACGAGGCTGATGTACACTTTTAGATACGTGTACGCACCAAAGAAAGTCCCATGACAGGTTTCGACAGGTTTGATCGGGGTAAAGAGACGACTCAGCCTTGAGTAGACTCTTTGCCAATGGATACCGGAGCCAGCCGTGCTCCGGGCCACAGCATTGAGCTCAAGTGGGGCTTCCGAGGATGGGTGTGAAAGCAGAGGACCAGGTAGTGGCGATTTTGGGAAGCCCCCGTCGAGTGCTTGCCCGAGTGCTTCACGAGAAGTCGGGGAGCTTCCTTTTTGGAGAGCTTTTGGCTGCTGAGTGGATGGTTCCTGAAGAGTTGGCACCTGCGTCTGCGTTGCCATAAACCCTGTGACTACCACCCCACTGTTTTGAGTATGGCCCTTGCACCTCCACGGGTTTCAGCTGGGACCAGCCTCCACAGCAAACTGTCGTTGGAGATGTCATACCCACAAGGGATGCAGTGGACGAGGCTCATCCACTGTGCGGCGGAAGAGATTGGAAAAAACTCAATCGTTAGGTGTCCGATTCAACTTCACAGGTTCATGGCTTGTCGTCTCATCACTACCGCTGTCTCTCTTGAAAGGTTCGAGAAATGGAGCGACGCTTGGACCACCTGAAAACCGAAGCCGAAAGCCTGAGGCCCGAATTGTCACCTGCGGTCATCGGCGTCGGGCGTGCGTGAGCTATTCCATCCGTGGCCAGGCGGAAGGGAGAAGAGCTGCGAAGCCTTCACCTCAACTTGGAGGCACGTGCTAGGAAGCTCCGGTAAAAGCCCGCAGTGCACACGTGTTGTTCGTAGTCTTTCATGCTGTGTGATGCAGGCAGACCTGAAGGAAAGCAAGAGCCAGAACAAGGCGTTGGGATTGGGATGCTGCTGGCCACAGAGCAGCAGCACTGCTCGAGTGAGCCTGTTTGACAATAGGCCATGTTCAGTGAGGGAAAGTCGCACCGCGATTTTTCTGAGTTGAACTTGGGGAAGCGCAGGCCCAAATGGAAGCCAACAAAAAGTTGGCACAAGAGGCCCGGTTGGAAGGAAAGTGTTCTCATTCACTACAGCCAGTGCCTTGCACCCTAAACCCCTAAACCCCTTAACCCTAAACCCCTAAACCCCTAAACCCTAAACTAAACCCTAAACCCTGAACCCCAAAGCCCTAAACCCCTGCTCCTCAGCAAAACCTCCCGAGGTCTTTGCCATGAGGTCAGACATGAGCAAGTTGGGCCAGTTCCGTGCAAGCCTAGACCAGGCCCAGCAACGAACGGGAGGTTTAGGGTTGAGGGTTTAGGGTTTAGGGTTTAGGGCTCTGTGTGATGATTATCTCATTCAGGCTTCGAGGTCCTACATACTAGTAGACAGGTTCGGGCTGGCAAAGCGATTGTGCAATCATTCGTGCAGTGAGGCACTGCACAGATATGGTGGAATTTTGCCGCATCCTCTTCATAGATGTCGTAGATGTGGTAGGTAAGGGCCCACCCGAAGTGCACCAAGCAAGATCTCTCTGTATCCCTGGCACTGCACAGGCTGTTTCCTTCGTGGACAGCCGCAAATGAACTTGCAATCACATGCTGTTACCAGAAAAAGCCGATGTGCTCAGTGAGATTTTCATGTTTATGTTTGCCGTGGCTGGAAAGCGTTCATGGCTAGGCAGTGTTCATGGCGAGACGTTTCAGGATATCCGTGTCCGTATGCCGAGACAATTGCTTACATGATTCACCTGCAAAGTGCAAGCAGAGATGGCACCTTATCCAGGTTGGATACGCTTTGATTTTTTTGGCTCAGCTGAAATGTCACGGCTTGCACCACATGCGTATTGATCCCCGCCCGCAAGCGAGGCATTTGTCAACGCACTGATTGAGAAAAGGACACGTGTGTCACATGAACCATCCTTCCAAGGACCGTCATTTTCGAAATTCAATTCCGCCTTTTCGACATGCACATTGTGCTCCTCTTCGCTCCTTGGCATGTTGATGCTGTTCGATTTTTTGTGGAGCCAGTTGAAGCCGAAGCAAACCTTGACGAGGCCTTTATTCCCCTGCTCAATGCAGCTCGTTTGGACTTGAAGGACGAAAGTTCCTGCATGTCAGCTCCTAGTTTCGATTGTTTTTCTTCCCAAGACCATGAGAAGGACGTCCACGCTTCTTCGGGAGCTGCAGATGAGGAGATGGAGCATGCATGTTGGGGTGCATAGTGCATAGGGCCTCGTAGCATTCGAGGGTAGCTTTTGCGAAGTTCACGGCGATGCCACCAGGAGGAGACGGCAGGAGACATGAAGCTGCAGCGGCTCAGAGCATTTAACGAGACTGGTCTGCGCATGCTCAGGGAGGGCGCCGACTTTCCTTTGGTGACAAGTTTTGTGGAGACGGACACTGCCACAGAACTGCCCTTGGAGTGGAGATCACGGCTGAAGATTGCAAGGAAGCTCGGAGAGGGCTCCTTCGGAAAAGTCTACAAGTGCAAGGTCCTGTGTACCAACACAAAATCATACGTGACAGTGAAGTTCATAGAAGGAAAATCTTCCATGGTGAAGAGGGAGATCAAGCTCCTAAAAGAGATGAGCGGAGTTTCAGATTTCTGTGCTTCAGCGATTGGCTCGCCTTCTTCTATCGAGACGGCGACCGGCTACTGGATCATGACGCTTAGCTCGGACAGAGAAATGTGGGAGTTTCAGAAAATTAGGGTACCTTATTTTGGGGTCCTTATAATAGGGATCCCATTAACTAGGGTACAATATTAGGGTCCCCTATTTTCGGAAACCCCCATGTGGGGTGCTTGTGGCTTTTTTCATAGTGCTCTCCAGGCTCCAAGTTGATGCCTTTCCTCGCTCAGGATGCCGCTCATGAACAGTGGTGAGCTTCAAGACTTGCTTCTACAGTGCGAAGCCAGCGCTTGCAGAAACTGCAGTGGTAGCAGAAACTGCTGGTCCAAGCTGGGGGCGCGGAAGACCCTAAAACCTATTCCCTAAACCCCTAAGCCCCTAAACCCTAAACCCTAAACCCCTACAGCCCTAAACCCAAACGGTCTCTGAACTGTTGTGGAAAGTCTGTAGGTCGCTGTCTGCACCGACCCTGAAGGCTCCTTACACGACTCCCTACATGCTCGCGCTCTTCCTTGACGTCGTCAGAGGCGTGAGGGCCTTTCATGAGAAGACTGGGTATCTTCATGCGGACTTGAAGCCGGGAGCCCCGGACCATCCGACCTTCGGAGCTGCAGGCGATTCCTTAGGGTTTAGGGTTTAGGGTCTAGGGGTTGAGGGTTTAGGGTTTAGGGTCTAGGGTCTAGGGTCTGAGGGTTTAGGGTTTAGGGTTTGAGAGCTGAGGCCGGAAAACGTGATGATCAACTGTGGCTTGGAAGCGTTTCATCCACGATCCCAGACGCCATTTTCCCTTAAGTAAGGAATATTCCTTAAACTATAGTAGGATCCTTAATATGATTCAAGGTATATTCCTTAATTAAGGGATTTTGGAGTTTCTGGGATGTCGGCTGGGTTGGGGGGCCATGTTGTTTGCGCCCAGACCTGTCCAATGCCAGGGCGGCATGAGCGGAAGTCTCCTTCTAAGGTCAGGCCGACGGCTGCTTCGCGGCGGTCATCGACCTTGGTTTGGCTTGCGACCCCAGAAAGCCTCGCCAATGCGGCCGCCGGGGCACGCCTGGTTACGTTGCTCCAGAGGCGGCCTTAGGGTTTAGGGTTTAAGGCCAAAAGGCAAGAATTCGTCGCTTGCAAAATCCTTCGTTGATGCCCAGGTGTGGAATGATGATCCTCATAGTGGACGGTTGCCCTCACGAGATGTATGGGCTCTTGGAGCGATCTTGTATGAGGTGGTGTATTCACATCTCCCTCCATTCTACGCAGATCGCAATGGAAGTAAGGCCGGCAGTGGTAGAACGCAGAGCTTGCAGAACCGCTTCGTTTGCGTTTGTTGCTGATTGTTTGCGAGGCTACAGCGTACAACCCACATCATGATCCAAACATTCCACAGCCTCCCAAAGCCATCGACGAGTTGGTGATTCAAATGCTGGAACCCGACTTTGAGCGCCGTCCGAACATTACGGCCATCGAGGCAAGACTGGAGGCGCACATCAGCAGCTCACTTCGAATCCCCGCACACCTCCTGACCCACAAAACAGTGGGTTTAGGGTTTAGGGTTTTAGGGTTTAGGGTTTACGTAGGGTTTCTGGAGGCCATCATCTATGACACCACTGATTGGCGTGCTCGGAACATGGTCAGCGAGTCCCCATCAGAGCGCGGAGCCACCACACCGATTTCGAGCTGCCTATCAGAGTTGCTCGGTAGGGTTTAGGGTTTAGGGGTTAGGGGTTAGGGGTTAGGGGTTAGGGGTTAGGGGTTCAGGTTTTAGGGGTTTAGGGGTTTAGGGGTTTTGCGGTTCAGGGTGCAAGGTGCAAGGTTTAGGTACTGTTGGTCACCTTCCTGGCCTTGTATCATCCTAGTTGCTGCAGGCATCGCGAACCCGGATCGATCACAGCCTCTGCGATGCTTGAACGGATCCAGCATCATGGCCGCGACGTCACAAACATCGGCTGAAAGCAGATGCACCGGAAGTACTGCACAGAGCCAACCGGTGTTCGGTTGAGGTCTCGAAGACCCTGAATGTCAAGCCATGATGCAAGAGAGATAACTAGGCTGGTTTTTGGGACATTTTTTATTTTCCCTATTTGGGTTTATAAGGGGCCCTTTAAAAAGATATTTTTCAGAGGGCTTAAAGGCCAACCCACATAAGGCAGAAGCCGAAGAAGCGTGCTTTCGCCACACTTCAGAAGGGCTCGGGCTTGGAGCCCTACAGTGGCTTGTGCGTTTTTCCTTCAAGCATAGACGTTGTTGTGGTTTGTCTGTATCAGTCCACAGTTCATATGCCAAAGTGGCGTGGATAGCACTTGAAGCTCTTCAAGTTCAGAAGGTTTGGCCTAGAAACGCAAAACGACTGGAGTGTATCGAAAGGGCATGATTGCAAAGGCGAGGTTTTTCCTGAGAGCGTTGGCGAAGGTTTTGAAATGCTTAGGATACGTGTTGGGCTGCCATTATTTCCGACGCCGTTCGAAGTTGGCCATGATCCATTGAAATTCTTAGCCACAGATATAAGAAACTTATTGGAATAGGAATCTCCATAAAAGAGAATTCAGAATATTCGAATGAAGTCTTTCTTATATGGGAATTGGCGGCAGGAACTTTTTTTTTTATATTAATTGTGCGGTGTGCGTCCTCTTTAAATAAAAAATTGCCGGGGAGCAATCATAACTAGGTCCGATAATGAGATATAATTGATAAAAATAATTAAATCTCATATATTTATAAGAATAGAATTCTTTTAATTGATATTAGATATATTTTTTTAAGAAGAAATATGAGAATTCTGAAATAGAAAATAATTTATACATATATTTTTATATTGGATAAATGATTTTAAGAAATATGAAGAATATCAATAATATGATTTAATAGAAATAGAATTTATTGATATTTTTTTTTGAAATAATAGATTTAGAATTAAATTTGATAAATAATTTTAATTATAAGCTTCTCTCTGGTGTAAGGATATTAGATGATATAAATTCGAATAAAACGATTTTGTATAAAAATTAAGATATTTAAAATCTTGGATTCTGAAATGAGAGAAATAAATTGAATTGAAATTAATATTTTTTATATTTTGAAAATTATTCTATAAATTTCTGAATCTCACCATTTAAGATTTTTAAGCTTCTTGAAAATTTTCTTGATCTTATTGGAATTTTTGAAAAATATTTTAATTAAAAAAGAGAAGACGTAAGAATATATTTGATTTTTTTTCTTTGATTATACAGAAGATTTAGATAAAAAAAATTCTAGAAATCTTGAATGTGTTTTCTATAGGATTCAATATATTGAAATTCAATAATTTTTAATATTTGCTTGAATTTATGGAGAAAAAATTTATTTATATCTAAAATGAAAAATATCGAAATGGATTTGAGAAATTTGAATTAATTATATTCTTGAAATTTAAAGCAATATATATCTCTCTCTATATAAATAATTAATTATTAAAAATATT